TGAATCCATATGTATTGAGATGAATACATTGTAAAATCTCAGTTAATGTCAGTTGGTCTAAATCAGTTATAAATATATTTGGACACAACATGTATACTTGGTGTTATGTTCCTGTTCATATTTTTTGAACTTAAAAGTTGACAGACAACCTTTATTACCAATAATATGTAATGTACTTTACAATGTTCCTGACATATATTTCAGCTTCCTGGATTTTTTTTCATCTGGCCTTCAGATATGAAAGGCAGAGTGATTTAACACCTGTTTAGATTTGTCATCCATGTGACGAAATGAAAAGTATGCTGTTTGCAATAAACTTTGCATAAAATAGTTAATTTGCATTTAATTTTAATGGTTCAAAGAATGTCAGGCAAAATGGTCGGCCCTCACGCATGTTCACTTCATCAAATCTGGCCCTCTTTGAAAAAAGTTTGGACACCCCTGATCTACATCATCACTGATATTTATAAGACTTGAAAGTTCTCAAACATCTCAGGAAGTTTTGACATTTTCAGTGATACCCTCCTTGTTATTCTAATGCATTTTATATTACATTCCCCCTCCTCCTTTTTTTCCAAAAAAAGTCAATGATTAAATATTCATTTCTGTTTTGCTTCCTGGCACCACAATTTTAATCTTTGCAGTGGTGCTTTTTGAATGCTTCAAGATATTTCAAAAGGGATTGAATCTCAATGCAACTCAGTGAATCCTTAAAGAATCACAGTTTACTATCTGCACGCTGTACTTGGTATTTTCTCTTTCGTGGTTCTTGTGATGTTGTGTCAAGCCATACTGTGAAAACATTACAGTGTGGATTATTTCATGATTTCTTCTTAGCTGTCATAGTTACCGAGTCAGTGCACATTATTCATGTCATATTAGTAAAAATATTACCTGGAATGTATAATAAAAACATATGATGCAATGAATATTCATCTGTTAATTTCCTAATAATTAAATTGAAAATGAGACAATTTTTAAAATTATCTCTTCATTGGGAATTAATATTAATAAGATATATCTACATAATCATCAATGATATGGTACACTTGTATGTGGTAAGGAATGGTACACAATTGTACAACCAAGAACTTCAACTTCAGGAGAGCTGTAATTTTGCCCAAATCCTGCACTTAGCAGAGCGAAACTCTCTCTGAAGTAAACAGGAGTTTTGCTCAGTTAAGGACTGCAGAATTTGGCTCCTTTGTCTTCTTCCATTATTGCTTTGATTTTTCAAAGAATACAACAATGAAAGGTCAGTATAAGATTTTTAAATCAGCACTGACATATCAAATCCTATGATGTTTAAGTCAGTTCCATTTCATACAATGAGAAGTTGTCGTGGGAGCAGCTCTGAACAATGCTTAGCTCTGTTCTTGTAATCTTTAGGTTAGGAGGAGTTCATTTACCAAAAATCTATAGGTTTTGCATGCTTTCTTAATGACTAACATATATTGTTATCTACTGAGGTCACCAATGGGTAGCACAGCTGGGACTACTCATGTTGCATGACCCAATATGCAAATCTACTCTGAAAAAGGGCTATTGGGATATGCTTTTTACACAGTTGTGTGGTATTTTAAATAGTTGTAATATGTTCTAAATATGATCAAACATAGTTATTTATAGTTGAGGATATTCTGGAAAGCTTTTGGTTACTTTTAGGAAAATGTTGAAAAATATTGTAAGAGAGTATCAGACATCAGAACGGATGCATGGGGCTGTGTGAAAACTTTCTAATTAAGGCAAAGATAATGTAGAAAACGAGCCCCAAAAATCCTTAATGCGTATATTTCAAAGATTTAAGTATAAAATTACTTAAGTAAAAGTACCAATTTAACTTTGTTTGGCATTTTTAGATAATTGTGATTTTGTAAATATATTTGAAATGGCAATTTTGTTTCCTCTGAAATATACAACCTGTTGACTGATATTTCTATGCTTACTCTCATCGAAACATTTTTCTTTTAGTAAAATGTCTCATTTTTTGAGAGATCGATAATGGCTTGCATTTAAAACATGGCCTTCTCCATGAACTTACTCTGCAGTAAGATCAAATGCCTAGGAGGTATGACAAGACAAGTGGTTTATTTGGAAATAATTATGCATGCCAGAATTATGAGAGACAAATACAGTGGACTACAATGAGAGCATGATTGGAGTCTGACAGACATGGCAAACTACTGGACTAACCTTATTAAATTAAATTACATCTCACTGAATTAAATTTAAGTATCTGAGGAGTTTACTGATTTAAAAATGCAAATGTTTGTGTATTATTGTGGGATTGTCTTGAGGGAGATGACTAATGTAATCTCGTCTAGGAAGTGTTATGAGCTGCAAAGGACTATTTAAAACAATGGGCAGACAAAAATTAACTTTTAACTTTAGCCGGGTTTCCCAGGACATCACCAGGAAGACATGGATAAAAATGTATCACCTTCAGTTATGCAAGAAGTGAGCCTTTAAAGCTTTTCCCTAAAGAGGGGACTTTTGTTCACTAATCACCTGCTACATAAGGACAAGATCAGCAGCACATTGTAAAAAGTAAGGACTCTTAGATTCAAGGGTGTACTGGTTCTGAGACAAGGTAATTTTAAATTTATAACTACTTAAAAAAATCCTTGGTGGGATTCAAAGGGTTGATTCTATCAGAGACTTTGTTAAAGTTGGGGTGTTCTCTAGAAAACTTATTAGCATGCATGTAGGTACTTTTGTTGTTTTGTTGTGTTTTCTCTGTAATGCTTCAAGAATAAATAGACTTGCTTAGGAAAAGCTGTGTGGTATCTTAAAACTCTGGAGAATTATTCTGTTTATACCCACTGAGGAGAAAAGTAAGGCAGGCTTGCTTAGGTAGTCTGACTTGCTTGAGAATTCACAGACACTGCACAAACCTGGAAATACCCAGGTCAGGAGGGCAAAAGAGATGTGTGTCTCTACTAAAGAGAGATGATAGCCTCAGAGCTCTTGGTGGGCCATAGAGAGGAACACATGTGCTGTTGCCCTAAATTGTGACTCCCTTGTTCCTAGTATTTAGGTAGATTCAAAATCACAAAATATTCTAAAGACAATGTATGTATTGTGAGAAAAACATACTGTTTTTGCAAAAACTCTGATTTCCACTGAATTATACTTTTCTGTTTTCCTCTGTGTTTCATAATAATCACTGGTTGATTTTCTAGATTTTTGAATACTAGATTTTAGTATAAAACCTGCATATTCTTTGGCTTTCAAATACAAGTAGCCCTGATAAAAACACTTCCTGAATGGCACACAAGGATCTAAAATTCATCTTCTTTTAAGAGTAGTTTGACCACTCTTAAAGGTATTTATGTGCCTACCTGTACTAGGATTTTCAAAAGAACTTAGGTGCTTAACTCCCAATGCACCTCTAATTCCCTTCATAATCCACTGAATATTCACCCCTCTAGGCATGATCCTGTTCTCACTAAAGTCAATGGAAGTTTTGCTACTGACTAAAATGGAAGGAATATCAGGAACTGAAATTCCAAAAGTCACTTAATTAGAACAGACAATTTTCAGTTTTATGTTTAAGTCAAGATATATTATTACTAGAAGATTTACCTGGTGTTTCTTGGGTCCCTAAGGACTATTCACTTTTAAAATTTTTTTTCAATTAATATTTTTATTTCTTAATTTAAATCATTGCTCCAGTATGGAGCTACGGATGAGGGGATTCAGTATGCTGGCCGCCCAGGGGAGAGAGGACTACCCCAGCCTAGCCTTCTCTCTCTGCAGTAGCTTGGGGCCAGGTTAGAAGCGCCTCTCCATGACCACTGCAGCTCCAGCGGGCTCAGACAGGGGAAGAGTGCATTGTCCACCTGCTGGGGCAGGTTCAGGTTTGTTGCCCCCGTGCTCCCCTGCCAGAGTGAGGAATGCAACAAACTGTGTACTTCCGCTGGCTCCATGACAAAGGGGAACAACCATCCACGTTCCCATATGAATTGGTGGGGGGTCTTCAGCCTTCCCAGCCCTTCCTAAAGGGATTCTGAGGGATGGGAGGCTTGGGGCTCAGGCAGTCCCAGATGAGGGGAGGGGGTATCCCCAGCCAGCCTCTTTCACCTGCCTGGTGATTTAGTCTCTTTTCTGTATGATTTTTATGAAAAGCAATCCCATTCCTGGCACATTTCGTTTTACTGGGACAACTAAATCCTTACTTTGCTTTAAGTTATAAGAGGAAACTTTAAACTGACTTTGGTGGTCATAGCTCTTACAGTTGAGGAGGAGTTCTTAAACAGACAGGCAGCTGGACAGACAGACCAACTCAAATATATAGTAGATAGTCACTTTAAAATACCAGCTAGTAAACTAAATACCAAATATTGTTCCTTTCAGAAACTTATGAAGTGGACATAGCTTCACAGGACAATATAACAGATGGTTTTAGTCTGATTTCAACCAGGCTAGAAGGCATGGGCTGTGTGTGAATCCTGAGTTTAGGAAGACTAGCCCCTGTCCTGTCCTTTCTGCATAGGGCCCCACCTCTCCCACCAGAGCCCTGAGCCCAGCCCTATGTGGTCACCTGTCTATCTTCCCCAGCCCTGGGCAACCCAAGCCCCCCAACCCTGGAGTGCCAAGCTGATGGGCAGGTACTGAGGTTCCCCTGCTCCCTCCAGAGGGCTGGGAAATTGGGCAGGCAATGATGTGACTCATCACCCCCAGTGTGTTGGGCAGTGGAATCCCTCAGCCCCAGAGTCCCCTCGCAGCCTCAAAGTACTGGGCAGTAGGACAGGCACTGTTCCTCTCCCCCCAGGCCTAGAATGCAGGTCTGCACGCATTAGCCTCACCTAGGTCTTTGCTCAGAGGGGAAGAACCCCTCACAGCACAGTGCTGGAAAGCAGGAAGAGGGCTGGGGGCAGAGTATAGGTGGGACCATGCAAGGATGTTTGAAGAGGCTCAGACTTCCCTGGTCTTCAGTACTGACTGCCAATGCCAGAAGGTGACTAAATTTCCCTTTTTCTAAATCTCCTTTTCTTAAGGTACCACACTCAGTTCACCTTTGAATCTTCTGCGGCTAAATCTCCCAAAGTGCAAGAGGTACCAATGGAATATATCAAATCTGAAACTGAGCGGTGGCAATGGCACTGGAGACATGTTGAGTCCTGTCTGAAGCGCTCTGCAGTGATGCTGAATGACTAGTAATTTGGTACCTTCATTTTTGTTTCTCATATTTTAAATTTTTTTGGTAGCTCTATAATAAATAAAACAATAAACACAAACAAGGTCTCAATCCTGCAAACATTTAAACACAGGAGTAGTTTCTTTGAATGCCACAGGATTTACATGTGCTTAAAGCGGAGTGTGTGTGTGTTTTATATGCTTAGATAACATTTATGAACAAGATTTTACTTGAATAACACTCAAAAAATGTATAGGTTTGTGGCTTGATTCTCCATTTACCTGCAGCTGATGTAATCACTTTGTACCTATGAAAAGTTGATGTAAGATCTTACTAAATTAAAAGTTTGACACTCATTTTGCACAGTTGTGATTACATAAAGTGCAAGACATTAGCGAATCAATCCCAAAGCAATGACACTATGTAGTTTCTGTAAAATGCTGACAGCTACATTGCATTAACTTGATGTATCTACAATGTTTTTTGTGATTAAACTAAGCCTTGAAAATATGGCAGACACAGTCTTTCAAGGGAGCATCAGAAATGTGTTCACTGAGAACAGCTGGAAAAGGGAGAAACTGTTCTTTTGCATTTTTTTTATTAATTCTTTATTAAGTAAACAGAAGGTACATGGAACAAAAACATACACAGTACTCTGACAGAACAAAAACATTCACAAATACAGAAATATTAATAAACTAACTGTAGTTTTGTCAGCTAGGTTACTATCTCAATTCACTGCAGATTTTCTTAGGATCACCTTTCCAAGACCAGTAACCCAATAAAACGTTTACTAAAAACTAGTTATCCAAATCCCTATCATTAGAAAAATCCCTTCATGTGATCTCATTCTTAGCCCTGTCCTGGCATGATTCATTTGCCAGGTCACCTTCTTTCTCAGAAAACCTTTTCTCATCCTCATATCCCAGGCATAATAAATTATATTCACTGCGTTCAAGGTAGATGTGCTAGCTCTCATGATTTTATATGACATGATATTTGGCATTTTCCTTGATGTCTCAGGAGCTGGAATCAAGGGAGGACGTAAGAATCACTTTAAATGCTAGATTCCTGGTTGCACTAACGACCTGTAAAAGTGAATCAACTGCCCCCTAAACGCTCCAAAACCAGAAGGCAAAGAAGACCCCCCTCCCCACATACAAACATACTGTTTATTTTTTAAATCTCAGGACGTGTTTGCCATTCTTATTATCTGGAGAGGCTGGTACATGACATTTGAGTACAGTGGACTGGCTACTGCATTGGGCCGGGGTTTTCGGGCCGGGATGTGTGTGTGGGAAATATCGCTGGAATGGAAGGAAGATGCTGTTGTTGTCACGGGGAAGGCTGGGCGTGCACAGATTTTGTGCCAGGCCTCCTAGCAAATTCTAACGCTAGATTCTGGGAAGCTGATGAGCCCCTGGTAACTCCCCACCGCTGAATGCAAAACCCCGGCAGCCCCGAATCGCTGCTCCCGCGGCGCTCCCTCCCCAGCCCCAGGATCCTGCGGGCCCGGCTCCTGTGTGAGCGCGCGTTGCTTTAAGGCAGCAGCAGAGGCCATTCCACTGGCGCGCGCGGTCCGCCTCTTCTAACGCTAGATTCTGGGAAGCTGATGAGCCCCTGGTAACTCCCCACCGCTGAATGCAAAACCCCGGCAGCCCCGAATCGCTGCTCCCGCGGCGCTCCCTCCCCAGCCCCAGGATCCTGCGGGCCCGGCTCCTGTGTGAGCGCGCGTTGCTTTAAGGCAGCAGCAGAGGCCATTCCACTGGCGCGCGCGGTCCGCCTCCGCCACCGTGAGAGCATCAGCATCACCTCCCAGGTCCAGGGCTCTGCATCAGTCGGGAACCCCAGCCCCGACAGCGAGGACTACAACCCCCAGCCTGCCCCTCGGCCGCGCGCGAGCACAAACAGGGAGGCCGCCGCGAGAAGACGCTAAGAGCAAAGCGAGAAAGAGACACGGATTGAGTCGCTGAGAATGCTGGGGGAGAGAGGCAGGCGGCGGGGGGGAGCGTAAGATGCGCATGCGCTGCGTGTCTGAGCGCTGGGATGCAGGCGAAGCCGCTATTCGCCGAGGTGCGCTACGCCAATTTCTCCGAGAAGGCCTCCTCGCCGCCCAGGGAGAGCGCTACGCGGTTTACGTAGCGTTATTGTGAATGGGAAAGGCGGGCGGCGGCGGCGGCGGAGGAGGGGGGGAGGGGGGGGGCGTGGCAGCGATCCCTGTGCGACTCCCCCTCCCCACGCCCCCCTCCCCTGCTGCAGCCTTCCTTCCCTCCCTCCTCCTCCTGCTGCTGCTGCTCCCCGTCCCCTCCCTCTATTTTTCTCTGCAAAGACTTTGGAGGCAGCTGGTTTTTAAGCCATCGCCATGTGAGGTGCGTCTCCGCGGGTGCATATTCCTCACCGCAAAAAAAACAACCCCCTCCCCGGCATCGGCCAATCCAGCCCCCAGCCGCTCCCCGCGTCCCACTCTGCCCCCGAGCCCCAGCGGGCTGGGGAGGCTGCAGCCGGAGGAGAAAGCTCGAAAGTTGCAGACAGTCGGAGAAGGTGAGTCTCCCTTTTCTCAGCTCTTTTTCCCGGGGAATGATGGAGATGAAGTTTGGTGTGTGTGGCTGGGAGAGCCGGCGGGGGAGGGGAGGGGGCGGCGGATTTTCTCCCAGCCAGCTGCTGCGGGGGCACATTTAAAAACAAGCCCCGGTCGCAAAAGGGCGAACAGTCATTTCTAAAAGTGGGAACCACAGAAACGTTGCGTAACTGGAAGCGTGTAAAAGGATCTGAAGTGTGTGTGTGTGTGTGTGTGTGTGTGAGCTAGAGAGTCTAGCTCGGCTGTTTGTTGCTGGCCGGGACACCAGCTTTGCTTGGCGCTTGGGGACCACCGAAAAGGGTGCCTTTTATGGGCGTTATGGTGGGGATGAAGGAGGAGCAGAGAGAGGGTGTCTGATGATGGCCAGCCCGCAGTTGCTTTAGTGTGCGCGCCAGGGGAAAGTGTAGCTGGTATATTGCATGCTCGCTGATGGGTGTTTTGAGTAAGCAGGAGGAGGAGCGCAAGAGTAATAAGTCAGGCATGGGGGCTCTTGTTTTTTACGAGCGGAGGAAAGCAGCTGTCAGATTTCGAGGCCTTTTAATGAACTGGGAGAGCAGGGGAGGATGAGAGACATAGACCCCTTAGCTACCTCCTCCTCATTGCCTCTTCGCCTGTTTTATTTTGGCATTTTAGCTCTTTTGTGCAGCGGCGACCCGGTGTAACGACAAAAAAGGAAAACCCACCCAGAAAAATAGGTTTTGCTAGGCATTTCTTGGCTACCCGCCCCAGGCGATCAAAGAATGCCTCGATTAACAAAAAGGGAGCAGGGTACTGCTATAAAGCAAAGCGATCGGGATTCCAGTTCCCTTTGGGTTCCTTGCACACTTCCCTTAAGCAGTGTGATAGAGGGTGATATTTTTTAATCTTTTCTGAGTGGCTAGTTACTTCTTTCCCGATAAAGTCATCCTGTATATAAAGCTCTTCTCATTAGCACCACTCCTTCCCTTTTCTTTTGATGGGATTTTGTGTTCAGGGTGTCCCATGTATGGGGACATGAAAGTGTTCAGTTCCCAGATTTTCCCGTTTTCTCCTTTGGGTTAGTGATCACGTTGCAGTGTCCTGCAGTGCAGAGGTGTTTAGGGTGTGTGTGTGTGTGTGTGTGTGCGCGCGCCTGTGTGAACTTTCCAAGTTACTGCTGCATCAAAAGGGGGTCACCTCAGTAGCCTGCTTATTTCTGTGGCTTTTTATTAGACACCTGTCTTTTTATTGGGCACACTCCTAAAATGCCTGTGTGCACTTGGGATTCAAATCCTGACTTCAACTAGTTTGTAACTTGCTGTAAGTTGTTGCCAAACAATAGTGTAGTTAATCAGTGCATGTAACAGCCTTAAAATAATTAAGTTATTGGTGGTGGTCTTGTGGCAAACAAGACTCAATTTTAATGATTTCTGGCAAGCATCAGATCGTTTCTTCATTATCAGATATGCATTTCTCAGATTACACCATTTGCTTCAGAGCATTTTTTTGTAAATGTAATCCTTTTAGTGTGTTTAATTTAAAAGCCCTACTTTCTTTCTTGCCTAGTGGGATCTGTAAAGAAGGTAAAGCACCGTTTCTTTTATTAAGCATTTTATTTTTATTTTTTTGAGTAAACTTAGAGAGCAGGGGTAACTCTGATAATTTTTTCAGATCATTAACATATAACATGTAGGCAAGGCAGTTCTTTCATGACAGCCTGAGCGTTTGCAGCTAAGTGTGAAATCATGCCTCTCCTTTTGTGGAACAGGCTATTTTTATAATACAGCGGGTGTCTTGCTTAAAATGTTTCAGTTATTGTGAGATCATCCTACCCTTATTACTGAAGCCCTGGCAGCTCTGGAGTAAACTGCATTTTTCATTCTTTAAGGTAATGATAACTGGCAGAAATAGCATTTTGTTAGAATCAGACATTAGTATCTCAAAAGCAATGCTAAATTGTAGTGTTGCTGTTTGTTCTGCTGTTGAAGATTTGTCAGTGTTTTAATGATGAAAGTCTATTTTTCAAGATTTCATCATTGTCATAAGACACACATGCACCTTAATGCAGCGGGTTATGTTTTGATTAGAAAAGGAGTCTTTTCTTTTTTGGAAGGGGTATATTTGTATGGGATTTTTTATTCAGCTGCATGTAGGAGTGTGTTTAGGGGTAGTATTTGCTTGTATTATTTGACAATTCTTTGGATATGGGGAAAATGAAATTTTGATAGGAAGTGGAATAATTGTTTTTAATATCTTTTGAATAGGTTAAAATGGCCAAGGAAGTGGGTGAAGCATTTAATTACAGTGCTTGTGTAGTAGCAGTGTATTAATCTAACATTTTGGAAGACTCTTCAGTGTGAAAATTAAAAGCTAAATTCTGCTTCTGATGAGTGCATATCCTTCTGAAATCCAAGATTGACTTGTATTCATTTGTGTGGAGCCCATCACTGTAGTATTTACGTGCTTATGTAGCAGGTCAGCAGACATAATACTTCACTGAAGTGTCATGGATATGTTCTTTTAATTATTGGTGTTCTTGGAACTCCAGAGATCGATT